GCCATGTCTTTGAACTCCCAAGTAGTCAACTGCGGTTCGAGTCCCAGACCTGGTGGCTTAAACTCACACCAGGTGCATGTGCATGCATGCCCAAGATCCCGAGAGGAGAATGGAGGAGAAGGGATTGTGGCGTGGCCATCCCCCCTGAGGGGTGATTTCTCACTTTCTTTCTTTCTCTCTCTCTCTGTCTTTCTGGCGAGTGCACATGCCCTATAGCAAAAACCTCTCAAAATAAGTAAATAAATAAATAAATAAATAATGAAGGGGCACGAATGTTGTGAAAAGAATAATAACACATTCATTTAACATGTATCTGTTTAGTGCCTTTGTGTGTGTATGTCAGGCACTGTTCTGTGTATTTAAGATACCTTAGGGGACAAAACAAGCATACATTCCTGTACTCATAGAGCTTATGTTTCAGTGAGGAGAGGGAAACACTAGACATTGAAATAAGTAAATTAAGTGGTATGCTATAAGATGGTAAGTGCTTAAGGAAAAAGGGCAGCTTAAACTGGGTGGTCAAGGATAACATGAGCAGTAGTAAGTCCTCTTGGCAGTATGTGCCCTCCCTTGATATGCTATGGTGGGAATGGCACTTCACCTCTGTGGTCTTCTTCTGAAAACATATAGACTAGTCTAATCATGAGAACAATATCAAACAAATCTCCAGTGAGAGACATTCTATAAAATACCTGACCAGGTATTTTACTTCTCAAAACTGTTGAGATTGTCAAAGTCTGAGAAACTCACAGTCATGGTGAAACTAAAAAGACATGACAACTAAATATCCTATATAAGATCCTAAAACAGAAAAGGACATTAGAAAAAAGCTGAAGAAATCCAAATAAAGTGGGCTTTAGTCAGCAATAATGTATCAATATTGACATTATGAGAAATATACCGTAAGATGTGACATAGAGGAAAGTGGCTGAGGGGATATACAGGAGCACTCTGTACTATTTTTGTAATAATTCTGTAGATCAATAACTGTTCTACAGTGAAAAGTTTATGTGAAAGAGTAAGGGAGACCAAGGGTTCAGGGTGGAGATATGTATTATAATTTTAAATAAGTTGGTTGAGATAGGCCTCATTGAAAAGGGGATGTGAATAGTCCCATGAGAGATTTGGTGTCAGCACTTAGGAGAACAGCCAACGCAAAGGCCATAGTACCATTAACAGGCCATAGGACCTTTATCTCTGGGCCTCAGAGTCCTCTTCTGTGAAAGGCTGGGGTTGAAAGGGTGATCTCAGGTCACACCTTTGACTCACAGCCTGTGGTTTTAGACCACATGGGAAGGAAATGTTCCACAAGCCAAGGGTACTGCGCATCAGTGATTATGTGCTTCCAACCAGTCTGTGAATATCCAAGTGGAGAGCACAAAAAGTATATTCCTAGATTTTTTTAAATCTTATTTTAGTTTGCCAGAAGGCACATGTGCTTGCCAGAAGGAAACAGAGACAGAAAGAAGAAAGAGGGAGTATGTACCCTCCATTGGGGCTGATCATACCACTGTCCTTCCTCTTTCTTTTCTCCATCCCTTTGGGATATGGGGCATACACACACATGCACCTGACATTTTTCCAGCCTCTAGGGCTGGGATTCAAACCATGCAGCTGACTAGGTGGGATCCAGCTTCCTTAATGACTAGGCTGTGAGGTCATCCAGCCCTTTAGATATTTCGATAAATCAAAAAAAGAGAAAGAATCACTCTGAAGGCATTTAATCTCTCCAGTTTTGTTAAAGACTAAGTTTGAAACATGGGTAAGAAAGGGAATATCTAGAATCCTGGATGAATACCTTAATGCCATGTACCTTGGTATTTCTAGAAAGTGGGGAATTTATACATTGTTTATGTTCATTTGAATTTTTAGTAAAAAAAAGAATGAATGAAGCATTTTAAGATTTATTATATATATTTTTCTTAGTCTGTGCTGTACCAGATGAAATTGAAAAAAAAATTTAAATCTCATTTCAAAATTATAGAAGTAATAAAACCCTCAAACAATTTAAGACACTGAAGGCTTAACTTTAGACTTGGGGTGGGAGAAAACCAAAAAACTACAGTTAGAAACTTTTCTTTTTAAAAATTTGCTATAGGACACATGTACTTGCAAGAGAGAGAAAGAGAGAGAGAGAGGGAGAAGAAAAATGAGAAAGCAGCTTCTGGGGGAATGACCATGACACAATCCCTTCTCCTTCATTCTCCTCTTGGGATTTTGGGCATGTATGTACATGTGCCTGGCATATTTTTCAAGCTGCTGGGTTCAGAAATCAATCTTCTCTGTTGACCATTTGGAATCACCTTAACCATCGTGCTATGGGCTAGCCCACAGCTAGAAAACATTTATAACTGATACTTATGTCTAAAAAATCAATCTGTGCCTTGCTTCATGAAGTGCTAATATAATAAATGTCAAATACAAAAGTAGACAAAATCATAATCATTATCATCTTCAGGAGGTTAATTAAAGTTCTTGTGAACTGCAAATCTTCTTGCTAGATCTAAAATGATGGTTTTGGAATCAGCAGTTAGTGTAATGGCTATGTTGCTGGACTCCCATGTAGTCGATCGTGGTTCGTGTCCCGGACCCAGTGGCTTAAAACTCACGCCAGGCGTGTGTGCGTGCGTGCCCAAGATCCCGAGAGGAGAATGAAGGAGAAGGGATTGCGGTGTGGCCATCCCCCCAAAGGGGTGATTTTTTGCTTTCTGTCTCTCTGTCTCTCTCTGTAACTTTATTTTATTAAATTTCAATATAAATATATAAGAGAGTATGAAGATGTCATCTATTACCATACTATGTCTATATCCTACAAAACAAATGAGCAAATAAAACATACAAACAGCCAAAAAGTGTATGAGGAAATGTTCAACATCCCTCATCATAAGAGAGATGCAGATTAAAATCAGAACAAGATACCACCTAAAACTTGTGGTATACCTCATATACTCTATGGAATACTACTCAGCCATGAAAAACAACAAGACCCTGGCATTTGATAGAAAGTGGTCAGATATGGAGGGTCTATTGCTGTGTGAAGCAAGCCAGGATATGAAACAAAGATATTGTATGTATCCACTCAATATATCTCTACTATTCACCCTTTATGGTAGAGATCGATATATAGGAGGGCATATAATTGGTGAAGATAGTTAGCGATGATGAAGACAGTATGGAATGGGGCTGGAGAAGAGAAGAGTATGGAGAAGGATAGCAAGAGAACAAATAAATAGTCATGACATTAACTGGACACAGAAATAGTTTATTACCTGTTGATGATGACATGTATAGTATTCTAAACTGGATTGGTCTGAGAAGTATTTCATGTTGGGTAACGTCTTTTTACAAGCAAAATGATAAATTGTGATTCAATGTTTAAAAAAATAATTGGGCTAATAATAATAATAATCTGGAAATAAATAATGAAAAGCTATTGATAATGATGATGGGGATTTTAATGTCTTTGTATTGACTGATATGCATGTTATTCCTTCTGAAAAAAGAAATGTAATACATTGTACAGTTATATGTGATTCAATGTAATATAAACAAGATTATGATAATAATAAAATTTTAAATTTTTTAAAAAAAAATTCACATCAGGCCTGTGTGTATGCGTACCCCAGATCCTGGGAAGAGAATGGAGATAGGATTGTGGCATGGGCATCCCTCAAAGGGGTGATTTTTTGCTTTCTGTCTCTCTGTCTCTCTCTGTCTGGTGAGCGCACATGCCCTATAGCAAAAACCTCTCAAATAAAATAAAATAAAATAAAATAAAATAAAATAAAATAAAATAAAATAAAATGATGGTCTGTGTATACTGGTTTAACGTATATACATTAAACAATGTGGATTGGTGCTGTTGATTTAAGTGTAATGGTTAATAACCTAAGTGCTAAAAATGAACTTAATTAACCATAGAATTTTGAAGTTTTTAAAAAGAAAGCATGTCTATCTACCTTTGAAGCAACTTGATGGTGTTACTAATTGCCTGGTTTTATCTGCTTGGAAGCAGTTAAGGAGGGAAAAAGCCTTTGTCTAAGTTGTTTTGTTTTGGTAAGAATTCAAGGTGTATATAATTGTTGGGCACCAAGAACCTTGATTTTACTAAGTTTAAATTTAAATAGCCATGTTTAGCTGGTGTCTGTAGTATCAGACAACATTGTTAAGGGCTTCTCTAATTGGGCCTGACCTTGAAGAAATCCAGCATTGCCAAAGGAGAGTGGTTTAGTGCTCATGTAGGAGTCTTTCTGCCATGTAGAGCTATTAGGTTTGGGGTTTGAGGTATGGAGAGAAAAGAAAGATGAACTAAAGCCTGCCACTTAGCCATAACTACACCTTAGCTCTTAGATACCCCTCAGGTTGGACCTGTCCTCCGAGATTAATCCTAGAAGCCTCAGAGAGTTTTGATCCTCAAATCCTCTTTCAAGAAGACTGACAAAATTCTGAAATTTTAGAGTCATCATTAGGCATTGTATCATCTAAACCCAGGAGGCGCAAGCACAATAACATTCAGGTTTAATGGAAGGGCAGAGCTTCCTTCTGTACTTCTCCCTCATACCTTCAAATCCCTCCAAATCATCAATGCTTTCAAAGTTTGTAAAAGGACTCAGGCATTTATGGCTTTTAGACTGATTACAATACAGGCCTAGTTACAGGATTTCTAGTCTCTTTTGCTTACTATTTTAGGTCAACATATCAGAGATTTGCCAGGGCAATCTTTTCATAACCATTCTCAAAGGCTTCTCTGTGTGAGTAAAAGCCATCGACCTTAATCCTCCTTATCAAGTGCTCCACCCTGGTCTGTGTTAAGTTCTAATACAAAGTGGGTAGTGATGTGTGCTCCTGACAATGGAACTTCTGTGTAAGAGTTGTCCACCTTTGTGCATGACTGCTAGAGAAGAGTTGTAAAGATGGCCAAGTTACTGGGGAGATTTGTGTACTATAGAATACAATGAACCATGTGCCAATGTATTCCTGTTTGTTTTCTTTCAGGAAATCAGGGATTGGCAAGCTTTGACAAGCATTTCCTGTTGTCTTCACAGAAATCTCACTGAAGAATAATCTCAAAGGAACATTTGTCTCCCCATACCTCTGTTAATGTGCATTAGTAGCTAGCAAATGTTTTATTTTCTGGCCAGAAAAACATCAGACAACCTGTGCTTGGCCTGTTCCACACAGCTGAATGAAAGCTTCTCCTAGTTGTTACTATAGCCCTACTGCTGATGTACCTCTCTGTTGGGTGAATGTTTACGAATCCCTTTTCTGAACCAGCTTTGGCCTCTTGGAGCCTGTGACATGGAAGCCTTGGAAGTGGATGATATCAGCCCAGCCTTAGAAGTTACTGAGGATTTCTTCAGTACTTTTGATAGTAAGCTAGAGAAAGCTGTGCAGCAAGCAGAGGTTTATGGGATTCAGGAAGTCCCTGAACTGGTGGGCCATGAGGTACTCAGTAACATAACAGACAATGGTGCTATGAGAAATGCTGCCTCCCTGGGCAAAGGGGGCATGATTTGGGACCACTGTAAGAGCAGGCTCTTAGAAACCAAAGCTCAAAATGTCTTCCCTGCCAAAGAACAGTTCATGGTCCAGAGAGGGACAACCCCAGACAATCTTTCCTGGATGGAACAAAAGGAAGCATCAACTTTTAATTTTTTCAATATGTGTCAACGCCGGAGGGACAGACCTCGTTCTGTGAATGATTTGTTGGATGAGACTTCTACTTTCAAGCCAGGACATGCTCGATCAAGGTCAGATATTACCCACATGGACTGGAGGGTAGTCCTCAACACTATGCCTCTGCAGCTGCAGCAGCAGCAGCCATCCCTTCAAGGCCCTCACTTCACCAGACCATCTTTTCTGTTGCCCTCACCAAACAAGATAGAAGATGCTCAAGGAAATACTGGTATGTTTTTATGTCTGACTTATATAGAATGATTGTTGGTTTTTCTTTTATATCTTTACATCTACCTCAAAAGAGTCTTTCTTTCTCTCTTTAGAGGTTTTGCCTAAGGGTGTGTGTGCTCGTTGGAGAGAGAGAGACAGAGACAGTGATGGGGAGAGTGAGAAATCACCCCTTGGGGGGATGCCCATGCTGCAGTTCCTTCTTTGCTCTCCTTCCGGGATGTTGGGCATGTACACACACGCTTCCAGGGTGATTTTCAAGACACTAGGTCTGGAACTCAAACCATGATCAGCCATGTGGGAGTCCGGTGATGTAACCGCTATGCCATCTGTTGGCCCCTTCAAGTAAATCTTACTCTCCAGTGTCCATGTCTGACTGTGCTTATGTAAACTCTCTCTTCCATTTACTTTCACACTTTTCCTTGCCTCAAGTCAACAATCTTGCTTTCTTCTTGAGAGGTATTTAAAAACAGCTATGGTTATTCTTCCTTTCTAATCTTGTATGTTAGAATCAGAATATTCTCACACTTAATGTAGCATTTTCTTTTGAACATCTCAAACCAAACAGTTGGCCATGTAGGATCCAGACACCTTAATGACCATGCCACATGGGTAGCCCTTACCAATCTTATTTCACATCTAGTCAAGAGTGGTAGCTATTGGAGTAAAAATGGTTTTATAAAGCACAGGACTTGGTGACTGATTAGATAGTAAGGGAAAAACAAGTTGTTGTGACCATAGTGCATGGCAAAATAATAGCTTTACATTAAGCTCATGCATAATCAGGTATACTCCTTTGTCAACTCAGTAGTGTTTTGGTTTCTTAGAATTCGCATAGATTTATCATTAAACCACCTTTACAGCTTTAAGTTCCTGGAATGACCCACATTAAGAGAATGTCATATTTCCAATTTTATTTTTCTTGTCTTGTTCTCATTGTGAATCTAAGAATCAGACTTTCCTTAAAGTCTCTCAAGCTCTGAACTTCTCCCTGAAATGTTTGACAGATGATGATGATGCTGATGCTTTTTTTTAAGTTCTCAATTTCAAATAAAGTTGAATATTAAGTTATGTTAAAATATAAATATTGAACAGTATTATGAAAAGTAAACTGACAAATGGCCTTTGCAGGTATTGATGTAATATATCCTGGTCACCTTTTTTTCATCCATGAGATATACATCCTAGCAAGACTTAGCAAACGGCATGCCAAGTATCTGACACCTTTTCTCTCTGGCATGCTCTGGAGAGCAGGCAAGATAAATCATGTTTTCATTACTCACCAAGTGAAGGGCAGGGGTAAGTAGTGGCCGTCCTTTCTCAGGCTGGGAATAGAAAGGAGTTCTGGGTTCCTGGTTGATCATCCACTCTAATGGGGTGTATCAATATCCAGGTGCTTTCTAATCGTAATCAGCTAAGATCTTTGAGTAAAGTGTACTTTAAAGACCTTTAAAATTTGGGATCCAAAGAGAATAAAGGCTTATTGTTCTTTCTGAGGAGTATGCCCAAAACAGAGGGAAGCAGTGTACTATCTTGGCAAGAACTGGAGATGAGGCCCAGGAGATATGGGGTCTTCTTGAACTGCAGACCCTCATGTCCGACTGTGAACGTCTCTGTAGGAATGTTCTACAGGCACCTCTAAGTCATCGTGTCCCAAAATGACCCACAGTCTTCCCATTTCCCACTCCTACTGTTGTAAGAGTTAACAAGGGTTAATGAAAGGGTAGGACTCCTCAGTGGAAATAAAAGTTAGTCAAATATGAGCTTTCTTTGATGAGGTCAACTTGGTTGTGTGTCTAGTCCTGTCCTCCTCTGAGTTATAAGCTTTATTACTACAGAGTCTTATTATTTTCTCCTAGCTCTTTTTTAGAGCTCACCTGGAATAGCTTAAAGATTTATTGGGAGTGGTTCTTCTTGTCCACCCCTTTGTACCCTTCTACTCCCATCTTTTGTCTTTCTTCTGATAACAGTTAAGTCCAACGGTTCTTTTTCTTTAGGGAGACCTTTGCATATTCTGCCTCAAGTCATGATGTTATGATAAGTTGGCTTTTGAGCCTTATTGAGGATAAATGTTGCATTGGGTTCAAAGCAAATTGAGTTCTGTTATAATGAGGGTAGTGAGTAGCTGAGTATGCTAATAGTGAGTTACTAATAGGCATGCTTGTCTGATGAAGACCTTCTAGTCAAACAAGGTAGTATATCGGTTAAAAACACTGACTTTAAACCTAGACTTACAGAGTTTTTAAGCCTTGCTCTAATACTTACCAGCTGTGTAATATAAATAAGATAGATTTCTTAATTTCTCTGTGACCTCCATTTGTTTTTTAAGAGAGATTTTTTGCTATAGGCATGTGCGCTCACCAGAGAGACAGAGAGACAGAGAGACAGAAAGCAAGAAATCACCCCACAGGGAGGATGGCCACACTGCAATCCCTTTTCCTCTAGCCTCCTCTTGGGATTTTGGGCACGCATGCACACTTGCCCAGTGTGTTTTAAGCTGCTGTGTCTGGGGCTTGAACAATGGTCAACTATGTGGGAGTCCAGCGATATAACTGTTTGCCATCTGTTGGTCCCTTTTTTGTTGTTTTGATCAAAGTGTGAAATAATAGTAGTGCTTACCTTTAAATGTGTTGAAACAGAACAAGCAAGTGGCATGGAGGTTAAGGGATTGGATCCTATATGACCTCCTTTTGGATTTTGGACTTGTAGGCACATGTGCCTGCCATGATTTTCAAGCTACCAGGTCTGATACTTGAACTGTGTAGGTGGTCATGTGGGACCTCCATGCCACCTGCTTGTCCTGTTTCAACACATTTAAAGGTAAGCACTACTATTATTCCAAGCTTTGATCAAAACAACAAAAAAGGGACCAGCAGATGGCATAATGGTTACATCGCTGGACTCCCAAGTAGTTGACCATGGTTAAGTCCAACTTGAAGTCAAAGTCTCACTTTCTCTCATGCACGAGCATGCACGCTGCAGCAAAAACTAAAGACAAACAATCAAAAAAGAAAAACATGGCTTAGAACACCTAAAGTGCTTTTTAGAACCATGCACACAACAAACGCTTAATGAAAAATTTAAACATTTAATATTATTGTTATTGTTCATAATTGAATTTGAAACACAACACTGAAAACCCAGGTGACGCTAATAATCACTCCTAGTCTTCTCTGGCATCTTTTTCATAAAATGGCCTCACAGTAAATATTTTTGAGTTGTCCTTCCTGTAGTATACTTTCTCATAATTATTAATTGGTTTGTTAATGGAAAATCAACCATTGTTCCTTCTCTGATACTGATTTGTGATCAGCTGACTATGGTCTTCCATACTAGTTTATGATCACTGATGGAAGGGATTGTTTTTTGTTCATTGTTTTATCTTCAATGTTCTGAACATAGCAATATATATATATATATGTACTAACATACATATATATATATATATATACACACATACATATATATATATATGTACTAACATACATATATATATATATATATATATATATATATATATATATTGCATGAATTTATTCTGATAACAATCAAGCCAACAAATTAAATGTTGAGTTACTTCTTTAACTGGCTTGTGTCTTTCTAGAAACAGAAGGATTCCATTGTCTTTTCTGAAGGCCTTACATCATCATTTAACCCTTCGTGTTTTGCATATTTTCTCTGAAGCTCTTTAGCAGCAGTGAAAAATGAAAATTTGCTTTTGTCTCAAAGGCTGCCCTGTACTAATGATAAGAGAAAATCAAATAAGTGTGGCTTCGGTGTTGGAAGAATATTGCCTTGATCTTTTTTTTTATTTAAATTTATTTATTTGTGTTCATTCACTGTACATCATTGCAGCATACAAAATGAGGCTTTGCCTTGATCTTGAAGGAGTATCCAGATCCTATCTGAGACTTCTGAGTTTGCACAGGCAGTTATGATTCCCCTTCTTAGAGAAATCCGACTGTTGTGTGCATATTTGACACTGTCCTTTCTTAACTCTGTTATGGTATACAGTTTCATAATCTGTTTGCATGGATTCCTGTGTGAAAAATACTTTTTTCCTGAGCACCGCCTTCCCCTCTTTCTATTCTCTCTTGCAGTCTCTGTTCTTTCAACTTCTGTGTCTTTGAATCTTTCAATTTCTGTGGTAGAGTACAGATGCTCAGTGTATTTGAGTGGGGGTATACAGTGTTTGTCTTTCAGAGTCTGACTTATTTCACTTAGATTTAAATCTTCTAGATTTATCTGCTTTGTGTTACATGACAGAATCACATTCTTGTATGTTATAGCCACACAGAGAGGTGAAGTGAACTGACCCCCACTGGTTTGTGAGCATGATATAAGACCTTTAGGATCTTTTCTCATTTTTTTGTCTTTGTTTTGTTTTCATTTGCTATGGATGCGTGTACTCACCAGAGGAAGAGAGAGAGAGAGAGACACATATAGAGAGAGACAGAGTACTCCCCAGGGGAGATAGCCACATTGTAATCCCTTCTCCTCCATTCTTCTCAGGATTTTTGAGCACGCACTCATGTACACATGCCCTGCTTGTTGTTGAAAAACAAGCCACTGGGGGTTTGAAACGTGTGGTCAGCCATATAGGATCCAGCCACCTTAAGCACCATGCCACTGGCTTTCCCTGGTTTCATCTTATAGCTGTCTTACTTAGAACCTGTGAATACATTTAAGAGTTTGCATTGCCTCAGGCCAAGGCAGACTGACTTATTAAAGAATGAGCGGATGGAGTATGTCTTGAATCCAATCCGTTAATAGATAACACTGTTTGGAATATCTGAGGATTGGATAGTAATGTCAAAGGGTTAGGACATAAAGGGATAGGAAGAAATAGATCTAAGGCAAGGTGACAGCAGAGACAGTTATTTCTAAAGAACCTCAAGGTAGGTGGTAAAGCTTCCTTAAGGTAAACTCTATTCCTTACTGCCACTCCAGTGTCTTCCATGTCCCTGGAGGTGGCTGCTGTGTGAGTGAGCACTATCCATG